AAAATATTTGTTGGTCCTGTGACTGCTGTACTCACAGATCAAAAAGCCACAGTACGTGGTAGTGCAATCGCGACATTGGAATGTTTAGCAAATGCCACAGGACTCGATCCCCTCATAAATTCTTTTGCAACTAGTCTGGCAACTGATAATCCTCTATTGCGCAAAGATCTACTTAGTTGGTTATCTGAGCGTCTTAAGGAAGGCGAAGAAAAAGGAAAAAAATCTTCACCTGACTTTAAACCGTTGGTTGTTCCATTATTGTCATGCCTAGCCGATCGTAATGGAGATGTGAGAAAAGCCGCGCAAGCTTGTTTAGGCCCCGTAGTCAACAACGCTGGTTATGATTTCGTAGTGACAAAATGCGGAGATCTCAAAGGTGCTGTGAAACAATCAATCATGCCAATGATTGAAGCAGTGAGACCTGTTGGTGGAACTGGAGCTCAAAATAAAAAACCTGGTCAAAAACCCCGCCCTGGTGCTGCTAAGCGTGAACCATCTCCAGAAGAAGATGACGAAGAGCCTGAGCCGCTTCCATTACCCAGTCTTCGTCGTCCAACAGATAATCCTGTTGGTGCAACTGGAATTCAAGGAAAGGAAAATAAAAAACCTAGTCTAAAATATCGTTTTGGTGCACCTATGTCCAAGCGTGATCCATCTCCAGAAGATAGCGAAGTGCCTGAGTCGCTTCCATTACCTTCATTGCCTGGTCTTCGACGTCCAACTGTGAATAACCATGAAAATTCGGTTGAACATTTAATTGAAAAGATTGCAAGTCCTGACCCACAGCAAAGCATTGAAGGCTTAAAAGAAGTGGATAAAGAACTCAACGGATCTCCAAACAAAGTTTTTGGGCATGTTGACAAACTTGTGAATGCTTTGACTCTTCAGATTCGATCGTCATATCCATTAATTGAACCACAAAAAAATACAATAATACGCTTATGCAAACATTTAGTAAATGCATTAGTATTACTCTTTTCCAATAAAGATTTGGCTTCTACAGTGTCACAAGATTCACTTTATACATTACTTGAAGAACTGGTGAACCGTTTACTCGACAACAACATTCAAAATGTGGATAATCAACATAATCAACATCTATCGAAAGCATTGAATGTTGCAATGGTCAAAGTATTAGAAAATAGTAATCGAAATGCAACTTATAGGTGAGCATATAAATGAACCACTTGTTTACGAATCTTCTTTCAAATTGATTTGTGCTAATATGTATGCTTTTTGTTATCGAGTGCATTAATATTGATACTGGAAAGAGCAACAGTCGATCTACGAGATTTATCAAGTTCCGAAGCCTCCGATCGCATAAAATTTACTGAACTGATAATGAAATGTCTCTGGAAGTTAGTTAAATCAGTGCAAGATAATCTCAAAGCAGGGACTTTAAGGCCGAACCAACTTTTGAGGGATCTCAATAACTTCTTTTTAGCAACCCCTCCAGCAGAATGGAAGCGTCGTCA